CATTTTTCACTCTTTTTTATATTTTTTAATTTTTTTAAACATTTTGTTAATTACCAAACGTATTTGTAGTTTATGTTTTTCTAAAAATAAACAAAAAAATAAATAAAAATTAGTTTATAAAATTTTTATAAATATAAACTGAAAACATAAACGTTACCAAATATATATATTTGAGTTAGATCTCTATAAATATCCATAGAATAAATTATCCATTTACATCACTACTCATGCCATCTCTTAACCCAGATTCTTAATCTACTTGTCAAGGCGTTTCATAGTCTAAAGAAGATCACGAATTCGGAACTCACTTTATAAAACAAATATGATATTATTTTATTATTTATTTTTATTGACAGTCCACTCCGAACTCCTATATCCGGAAACAAACAGACCCTAATTCTCATAGATACAAATCCAATAATTATAAAATTTTAAGATTTGAATCTACCTATAGTGCCCTTTTGGGAACATGATAAAAAGTCACATTTTTAGACAAAATATCCAAAAACGTGGCGGTCAAAAACGCCAGAAAAGTCATTTGGCAAGTGCCAAAAACGCAGGCATAAAATTACAAATTAGGGCCTATGAAAAAAAAAATAAAAAAATAAATCTCTTATGTTGGGTAAAAATATTTTGGTCATTTTAATTTGATTTGACACTATAAATAAATATTAAACTAAAAAGTAAAAAGTCAACTTTTTACTAACTTCCAAAATCACTTTCAAAAAAACTAAAAAATTTGATAAAAAACTAAAAACTAACTTTTTACCAACTTCTCAAAACAATCCATAATACACACTTTTTCAAAGACGTGTGTAATATCACCTTGGAATACATAATATTAATGGCACTCTTTAGTGCAATGTCAGAATCCTCTAGGTAGACTTTCGAGTTAATGAACAAAGTTGAAAGTATTTCTCTAAGTGAAAAGTGGTCATGAAATGTAAGCTATTAATAGATGTAAATCATTGCATGTTTTTGATGTTTTAAGACCATCTCTAACGGTGAATCAAATTCAGCATTAAATTTAAATTTTGATGAAAAATTTATTTTTTTAAGTTCCAATCGTTGCACTAAAGTCATATCAAAATGAGAATTCAGTAAATAAAACATCAAACTGAAACTAAGACACAGATTTTACCAAATCACTATTACTGACCGTTGAAAGAGGTACACCGGTCAACCAGTCGGTTGCCCGGCCGGTTGACTAACCAGTCAACCAGTAAAAGATTCAAACAGTTCAGGAAAAAAAGTTCAAACGATTAAAAAAAAAAAAAAAAAAAAAAAAAAAAAAAAATTGCCTAACCGGTCAACTGGCCGGTCGACCACCCGGTCGTCCCGAAAAAAGTTCAGAAAGTTCAAAAAAAAGTTCAGACAATTCGCGAAAAAAAAAAAAAAAATTTTTTGGCCTAACCGGTCAACCGGCCGGTCGACCACCCGGTTGTCCCGGGATAGATTTGGTGAAAGGTGAACCGTTGGAGCGAATGGTATCAAAGTTGGTGAAATTGGTCATTTTTTACTCAAATTTGGGGAAAAATTTGAGTCACCGTTGGAGATGCTCTAAATGGCATGATTATGAAAAAAAAGATGAATAATGTTATAAATGGTGCTATATATTTATCAATTAATATATTTGTCACATCACCTGTTAATACACTAATTGGTATACCAATTGATGCATAACATTATTCATATATAATAAAGGACAAAGAAAAAAGTGAATTTAAAATGAATAATGTTATATGTAGTAATTAATATACTAATTAGTGTATTAATAAATAACATGACATAATTTTAAAAATTTTAAATATTTATAATTTATATAATAAGTAAAATCAATAATAATATTATAAGATATATTAATACATTAATTAATATACTAATTAATATATATAATACTGCCGAAAAAAAACTCATTAATTGCTCTTTTAGAATTTCAAGGCCTTTATTAAAGTTTTTTAATTTCAAGGTTTTGTCCCCCCAAAACCGGTGCGATTATAGTCTCACAGCATTTAGTGCTCGTTTGGTTACCTCTAAAAAATCGCAAAAGAAAGAAAGAAAGTCAAAAAAAATTATAAAAGGATAAAAATTACATAAAGACAAAAAATTAAATAATAAAATCAAATAAATAAATAAAATCTCAGACTAAAAAAATTAAAAAAACTAAAAATTAATTAAAAAAAAGCCATCGCCAAATAACTCCTTATTATTGCTAATGGAGAAACCAACTGGTCACTTTTTTTGAGATGCATCATGCATCCATGGCTGAAATAGCTAATCACTAATTACGAAAATAAACATGCTAAAGCAAAATTACATCATTTTAGCATGCATTAATGACCGATGTCTTCCGTATAGATTTAAGCAAGTAGACATATAGGCCTGCTTTAGCAAAGGTTATTTTTAATTTTTTAGATTAAAATTTACAAAAAGATAAAATAAGTTAAAATAATTAATAAAATAAAATTTCTCATAAATCCATAACCATTTCATTTTTTCTTTTACAAACATTACATCAAATTACAAAAAAAAAAAAAAATCTAACAATCTTTTCAAACACAAAAATTTTAATCTATTAAAATAACAAAATCTAAAATAGCCAACTTCTCAAACAAGGCCTTACACTATAATGTTAACATGATAGAAAAATAAATTCAAACAATAATAGATATACCAATTTCAAACAATTAGAAAATATTTAACAAGTGTTCAAAGCTTAGACTTAATCAAGTTAGATTCTGGTTAGTGCAATTCACTGTTATGTAGAGAATTGTAAACGAGATTAATAATTTGTTCAAATTTAACAGTTTCAAAATGTGATCAAACTTAACAGGAGGATTTGTGAGACAAAAATTATATGGATGAAGTATTTTTCCAAATCTAATTACTTTTTGAGTTGATCCCAAATTAGTTTAATAAAGTTTCAAACTTAATTTAAAAACAAAACGAATTGTAAATTGTGTTCAAATTGGGGAATTTTATTATTATTTTTAAACACACAAATTTTTAACAAGTCAACTTTAAATAACTTAATTGGGTTTACAGCCCATTAGTAGAAATATAAAACTGGTTTCTTGGGGGATTCTATTTACACCTAAATAATAATTCAGTACACCCAATAAAAATTTTAAAATTTTAATTAATATTACACTCTAATATAAATTTACTAATAAGGACAATTCACATTAAATTTTAAAATATATATTTTTTTTCATGGTAAACCCTAATCATTCATACATATTTTTCATATTAAATCTCTTCATTTTCTTCTTTAAAATTTAATTATTTTCATTTTATCTTTTTCTTTTTTATCAAAACTCTAATTCATTCCACTAAAATTTACCACTATCATCAAACAAAAAATGAACCCTAGATCTCGCACGAAAGTCTAAGAGGAGGAGGTAATGAAGTTTTGGAGTAAACAACCTTGTCAATCTCTCAATGTAAAACCTACTTCACAAAACGTCATTCTAAAACCCAGGAAACCATTAGAATCATCATTAGAAAAAAAAAAATTTAGTTAAAAACCTAGAGAGAAAAAAGTTTTCAACTGTAGAGAGAGAGCGCACAGTTCTTGATGAAAAACAAGCCTACTCAACAAAGTTCATGAATTCTAACCAAGATCCATATATGATATATACATATAAAGAGAAAGAGGAGATGTGGGAGAGAGATACCCAGCGTTGAGAAGAGAGGAAAAAGAGAAAGTCTTTTTTTTTTTAATTGATTTGTTTATTATTTGGATGTACCATAAATTATTATTTTATAGTGAAGTGTAATTTAAGGAAAAATATAGAGTATATGAAGAATAAATTAAATAATTAAATAAATAATAATAAGAAATGGGGCGTACTAAACAATTTTTTGGGTGCAAATAGTATCACCCGGTTTCTTGTAAGCAGACTCCAACAAATCTCAAGCCTCAAACCTATTTTGGACTTGGGCCGGGATTTCTCAGTCCATTAGTTTGTTTTTGGTCTTTTAAGACAGGCCAGGTTTCACTAACCCCAAACACTTACCCAAGGAAGTTTAGACCTGGAGTAACCTTCCCGAGGCCCGACGGGCCCAGACCGTGGTCGAGCCCAAACCCAATGTACATGACTGAGATGGGCCGTAAAATATTAGGGTACTACCAAGTCACCGGATCATTGCCTTTCCTATATAAATATATGTACACTCGAAAACCCTAGTTCTCTATTGTATCTATCCTCCTCGCAGTTTTAGGGTTCACAGGAGCAAGGCTCTCCGCAGCGTCGACACCAGGTTCGAATACCTCATCTCTCTCTCTCTCTCTCTCTCTCTGTGCAAATATATACATACGTATACGTATTTGCTATATTTACACACTTGTGTTTCTATACGTATTTGAATTGGGAATCGGAGCTTGGAAGATGTTGAATGTGTGTTGTGCTATCATTTATTGACAATTAGGGTTGTTTATTTTGTTCTATCTTAAGATTTGATGCTACTGATAAATGAATCATAGATTTATTGAGAATGATGACTAAACCTTGGATGTGAATTTGAATCGACTTCAATTTCTTTCTAAAGACTTTGCTTTCTCATGGATGCGAAGTCTGTGAACCTTAGATGAAAAAGATCGAAGTTTGTAGCCAAGTATCAGGAAGATACTTCAAATTGATTTGTAAGAAAAAAAAGAAGTTATTTTTATTTGAAGTTAGTTTTCATTGAGATAAACATTCTTATTACTTCAATTATTTCCTTTAAAGTTAGTTTTCCTGTGATATTCTACATTTCTTTCTTTGTTTTTTTGTTTTGTTGTTGCTTTTACATTCTTGTTATTGTGTCAATTATTTCGTATTCAGTATATAATGTTTGTTTTTGGTATATATGGTATAGAAACAATGGCTGTTCCTTTGATTACCAAGAAGATTGTGAAGAAGCGTGTGAAGCAGTTCAAGAGGACCCAAAGCGACTGGAAGATCTCTGTGAAGGTATACTTTTTGTCTGCACCATCATATGTAGAATCCTTTGGAAGGAGTATGTATTTATACTGTTTTATTATTGGTGATAAAGAACTGTTACTGTGTTTGCTTCGAATGTAACTGCTGGTTGAGTTTCATTAGAATGCCGAATATTCATGCACATTCGGGCACACATTTGATTGGTTCATTTTTCAGATCTATTGTACAACTAACACCCATGGTTATCAGAATCCCGATTCGAATTTTACGATCCTACAATCTTGTGATCCATTTGAGTACAATCGATCCGGATCGTGTAAAAAATTCCTTATAGGTAGGATCTTTCGATCCTGGTAGTGGGATCTTATAGGATCGTGGAATCCCGATCCAATTTACAAGCTTTCTTTTGTATTGTATGACATATTTTATTGTAAATTTTATGTTTGTTATTTAAATACCAATTTATGTGATTAAAATAAATAATAAAAATTAAGTAGTATTGAATTAAATAGACTAAGAAAAACAAATTAGGAAACAAACATTTAAATATTGTGATAATTTAAGAAAATTAAATAGTCGGAAAAACAAAATTAGCTTTAGCGGAGTCTAAGGAGGGTAAGATGATTGCAACTTTATTCTAATTTTTGGAGAAATTATTTTTGTGACTCGAATCCGCTCCACCAGGGATGTTAACGACAAATCTTATCATTCGACTAAGCTATTCTTTTGAGTTCTTAATCTATTTTCATATCCAACTTTGTTAAATATTTTTTCTTCACTTTTTATCCATTATTGTAGATTGTAAAGTATTTTGTTATAGAATTATTATTCTTCTTCACCTTCTTTTTTGATGAAATATAAAACTTTTAACATCGAGTTTTCTATTGCATAATATTATATATACATTTTACATGGAGTATTATATTTTTCACAATATCTTCACTTCTTTTTAATAGAATATAGGCTCATTTTGTGTATATTTTATAAGAAATATTTATTTAAATTAAATTATTATGTAATTTGTCTTTTTCGGTAGGATCTTACGATCCTCGATCCGATTCTACGATCCGATCCTATAAACACCTACTACGATCCAACGTAGGATCTCGATTTTAACAACCTTGCTAACACCATGCCCCGAAGTTTTGTCGGATGTCTTGATTGGGCATGAGAATTGCTTATAGTATGCTTCTTATTGTGTAGGACTTTAAAAGATATTTTTGTTAGTTTGCCTATTTCTGTTGTAATTATTGTTTAGGTTTATGGAAAAAGCCTCCGACCCCCAGTGGGGGTACCGGGGGCCGCGTGTGATTGGTGCAAAAAAAAAAACTGTTATTTTATTTTATTTTATTTTTGTTTTCAGCCAATGGGGAGGCGACACCTCACTGGGGGTTGTCAATGGGGTCGCCCCACTGGGGGTCGGTAGCACGGCTCTAGGTTTATTAGTTGGTTTAAGTTTTGAGAATATTGTTTGTTCCTTGTTCAATGCCTAATCAACTGAGAGTATGCTATACATATACATTTACAGTACATTTACAGTGTCTTTTTGAATCCATGAGAAAAGGTAGAAGTGGTTTTATTTTTGAGTGGGGAGAATCTTAGCCATGGGTGATTGTGGTTTTAGTGTCGGAACATTTGGGATGAAGTGGTTGAAATATATTTTACATTCTGGCGTAAATTAATTTCATCTTAAAACTAATTGAAAAGGCATATTTTATTTCCTTCCTGTGTGCTTCTATGCTTTGTCCCTTCTATTCAAAAATCATACAATATTTGTATTGGAAGTTCTTGAGGAATGCCTCTGTGGAATATCTTCATTTTGTCAGTATTTTCTATTTACCTATTGTGAAACTCAAGAATGTGGCGAGTTTCAGTTGGCTCAGGGTTTCTTGTCTAAGGTTGTTGCATGTATCTTTTTATTTATGCCTTGATTTTATATGGTTTCATGGATATTTGCATATGCTTATTTGCATTTGAACCTTGTATCATTTTGTTGGCTCAGCTGTTCAAGTCCTGCTAACTGGTTAAAGAAAATGCTTGCGTTGGGATATTTTGGCTTGTCCTTTTTAAATGGATATTGTTTTGTTCACAGACATAATTTCTTTGTTTTGTTTTGTTTTGTTTTGTTTTGTGCGTGTGATTGTGTGTGACAGACAAGCTGGCGCAGGCCCAAGGGTATTGATTCCCGTGTGAGGAGGAAGTTCAAAGGATGTGTCCTCATGCCTAACATCGGTTATGGTTCAGACAAGAAGACTCGCCATTATCTTCCTAATGGGTTTAAGAAATTCCTTGTCCACAATGTCAAGGAGCTGGAAATTTTGATGATGCACAACAGGTGATATGTTTTTTCTTCATTTCTTTGCGTCATTATAATTAATCTTCATCTTTCCCAAGTCCCCCATCCTGTAGAGCCCCTACTCCTAAAATATATTTTATTTTGAGAAAGTAATGACCTGAATTTGTCACTCACCATCACATCTTATGGATTGATGTAATTTCAGGACTTACTGTGCGGAAATAGCACACAATGTATCGACTCAGAAACGGAAGGAGATTGTTGAGCGTGCGGCACAGTTGGATATTGTTGTTACCAACAAATTGGCTAGGTTGCGCAGCCAGGAAGATGAATGATCATTGGTGCAGAATATTAGATGATATGTATTTGTCTTGGATTATTCACTTTGCATTAGGCGCATCACAACTTTGGATGTTTCAACTTTTGTGCCATTTTTTGTTTTAAATTCTATGGTATTGTTGCTAAATTTTGTTGCTACTTTTAGCTAGTTACAATGTTTGTTGGTTATGTGTTGACTTGATGCTTAAGCTATGACATTTCATCTTTTTGAAATATATCTGGTATTTGTGGTGATACTTTTATGCTTGGTATATGCGGATACTTTGCAGGGCTTCACTAATTTGTTGAAGAAAATGCCCATTTGATTAGGACACATCTTAGCCTACTTGTTTTTGGCATTGGTAGTTATATTGTGATTATTGTTTTTAGTTTTGTAAGTCAATTATCTTGTGTTGGTCAAATTACACTAACCTTAGGTTTTGACAAATATAGGTAGAATTGTCAAAAAACCTTTATTTAAGCAGACGTTGCAGACGTCCTTGACGGGTCTCATATGAGGTCATGGATATGAGAATTATAAAACTATTTTCTTTTAGAGCATATAATAAATACAAAATAAGACTAATAATATGGAAGTTGGTATTCCAGTCATATTTAGGCGTGCCCTTTTGGTTTTTGCAAGTGTATTATTTTCCAGAAGTTAATGTGATTTTGCAAAGACTCTGCATGGGGTTTTGATAAACAATTAGATAATGTTTTTCTGAAAATTGTAGTAGTTGAGTGGAAAAGGGTGCCCTGCTGCAAAATATGTAAAAGCCCCTATTGTTGTAAAATCTGTGTATCAGTGTATATAATTGTAAAAATTGTAGCAAAGAGTAAATAATTGTAGTCTTTCTTTTGTATTTATTTGTCTTTTTGTATTTACTTTTAGGTAGACTTTTCAAAAAGCCTATGACTAGGCTTGTCTAAAGAGTTAGAAATTTTGTAACTTTTAGACAAAAAGTCTTGCAAAGTTAGTATAGCGATCCCGGTTGTCCCTTTACTGTTCTGTTATATTCCGGACTCGGTTCCGTGGAGTTGGTAGTTATATCTATCTTGTTATCGTCCTTTAATTCCATTTGTTTGAATTTTAGGATGTCTTGGGTATGTTTCGAACAGGTGGGTTGGTCTAAAAATCTTGTTGCCAGGTTTTTGGTCGTTCCGCTCGAGCGGGCCTTGTTATGCTTGAGCGGAGATTGCACACTCCCAGTATTTCGTGTCCCTGCAAAATTACTGCAGGTGTGATTTTTACGCTCGAGCGGGTTTCTTTACGCTCGAACGGTGGCGTTCGAGCGGGTACTCTAGCGCTCGAGCGGGTAATACTTCTTGGTGTAAGTTCTGGGAGGGAGAAATCTACGCTCGAGCGGACTGGTTTTCGCGCTCGAGCGGATGTATTTTATTCTTGTGTCTTGGCGCTCGAGCGGGACTTCTTGCGCTCGAGCATACCTAGTTTTTTGTTCTTGATGCTCGAGCGTTGTGTTCTCCGCTCGAGCGGGAATGTCGTATATCAGTTGGCAGCTGGGCATTTTAAAATCACTTTTTACATTTTCTCTCTCTCTCTTACTTTCTAAAACGATATTTTGAGAGCTCATCTCTCTAGAAACTCCCTTCTCTCTAGGGTTTGATCTAGTTAGAGTGTCTCACTATCCTCCAGCCTTTGTAAAAAATGTGTGGATCGTCGAGGGCTCCATTTTGATCCGTGAATCTTTGAGTTTGGAGCATTTTGGTTTTCTTCAACTTCCCCGTTTGAACTCTAACTTCGAGGTAGGGATATCCTACTCCTTCTCATGAGTTTTGTCTTTGAATTTTAGTATTTTGATGAGTTGGGGGTTGTTGGGTAGTTTTGAGAAAGTTTGAGCCTTTGTGTAATTTTACAAAAGTTGAGATTTTATTTATATAGACTTGTATGCATGTTTGGCATAGAGAAATGAGATCAATATTGAATTATTGGTGAAAATGAAACCTTAGGGTTGTGATGTTAATTATGGGAAATGCTCTAATTACATTGATAAATTAATTGGTATAATTAATTTGAAGAAAAGAAGAATTAAATTGAGAATGTTGGAATTGGATGTGTATGGGATTAAAGGGTGTAGTTTGATTCGTTCATCGCTCACCTAGTTGAAATGTTGATTATATATCCATTTGGTGCATTTATTTTCAGTATAGAAATAACTGCTTTGGGCTATCGGTGGAGGATAGTCTTGATTGTTGTAGACACTGCATGATGATTAGGCAAACTAAAACTAATCGATTGAGTATGCTATTGAATATAGCAACTGGAATAATACATTAATTCTATGTATTGATTGATTGTATATGATCTATGCTTATATACATGTGCTGTGTGGGAGGAGATGGGGGATGTACTCCATGGTTTTAGGGAAGATAGGGGATGGACCTCTAAACCGGATTTTGTGTGACATTGATACAGCACTACAATGTGTATCAAGTGTTGGTTATGGAAGTGTTTGAATTGATTTGATATAGCACTAAAATGTATATCGTTATCAATTGTAAAGTATAGAAGTGATTCTATGTTATGTTGATACAGCATCGAAATGTGTATCTTTCGCAAAGTGCGGGAATGGTTTATGTGTTATTGATACAGCATTAAAATGTGTATCCCTTATGAATTTCGAAAGTGTTTTAAAGATGAGTCTAAACCTCATTAAGTTATTTGGCTAGGTGTTGAGCCTTGTTTTCAAACTCAAAGTTGGAAAGGACATGGGAAATGAAATGTAACATGGACTTAATGTCATGAAATCGAAATGTGATATATGTTGATGTATCTGTGTTGACCATCTATCAACTGCTAATCTTTTAGTCATTGTTCATGGCTGGTTTAGTGTATTTCTACTAGGCTATGGCTCACCCTTTATGGGACATCATTTTCAGGTACAGGTAGCATGCCACCTCCAAGGACATAGCTAGGGAGGCTAGAGGCAGACAGACTGCTTGTTAATTGCTTTCTTTTGATGTATTATATGTAAATTCAAGCCACGGGCTTAATATGTATTGAGTTAGCACTCTTCTTTTTGTAACCAAGTGTTAACTTGGAAAGCTGTAAGTCCGTCGGGCATTTGCTTTTGTTGTTAACATGTAATACTTTTGTAAGAACTACTCAGATTAATGGAAAAATGATTGGTTTCTTTGTATCAATGCATGTCTAAGTTGATGGGTTTTAATGTTATTATTTTGAGGGCGTTACAACTTGGTATCAGAGCGTACTGGGTTCGACTACTTTGGGTACGTGGGAAGTGATTAGTATCACAATGGGTTTGTCTCGCTTGTTAGAGACTTATGTGTGACATTATGTGTTTATTTGATAACATGTTTATGTGACTACTTGGGTATGGGATTTAGTTTATAGGATATTGATTGGATCCTTGAGTTTCTGTGAGTCTTGTTGGAAAAGCACTTGATCAATGTTGTTTCTAACCGGAACTTTAGTAACGCCTCGGGACTATCATTATCCGGAAATGAAATTCGTAAGTGCTTATGTGTTTATGTGCTTACGTGGAGTGAATTGGTAATAGATGTGCATTAGGACTTAGAGGGTCTCGTTGCTTCTCAAAAATAGATTTGAGGTCGAGGTACCCTCAGTTAAAAGTTCGGGAGGAGGACATTCAGAAGACGGCCTTTTGTACTCATTATGGCCACTATGAATTCCTTATAATGCCTTTTGGGTTGACCAATGCACCGGCTTCCTTTATGGATTTGATGAACATAATTTTTTGGAAATACTTGGACCGTTTTGTGGTCATCTTTGTGGACGACATCTTGATTTATTCAACCTCTGAAGTGGAACATATGGGCGCTTTAGCCCGAGGGATAGCCGATGCTTTGAGGGAGTCTGTGGGTATTTTCCGAGCTAAGACTCCAGTTCAGGCCCAGGTTGTTGAGGCAGGGCCTTCCTTCTTGAAAAGGGAGTTCTTCCGGTCTAACCCGGACGAGTTTATTGGGGATCCGAAGGAGCCACTGAAGGCTGACGAGTGGTTAGAGCAAATGCGTAAGACGTTCGAGATGCTTGGCATCGAGGACGGAGCGTTGAAAGTGACCTTGGCATCCTTCCAGCTTAAAAGGGGTGCGGGTCAGTGGTGGAAATACATGAGGGGCCGTATTGCTGGCACGTGAGAGGCTTTTGTGGAGGATTTTCAGGAGAAGTATTTATCTTCGGCAATCAGGGAGAAGCTGATAGACCAGTTCTGTCAGCTTTTGCAGTTGAGTTCTTCAGTAGCTGAGTATGAGGCTTCTTTCACTAGCTTGTCCAAGTTCGCACCTGAACTTGTGGCGTCCGAGGAACGCCGTTGTATTGAGTTCGAGAAGAGGTTGAGGCGCGGCCTCAAGATGAGAGTTGGAGGTTCAATGATCCGAGACTATGAGCGCTTGGTTGATGCTGCAGCCCATATGGAGATCATGATGCAGGAAGAAGAGGGACAGAGAGGCTCCAAGAGGAGCCAAGATGGTCAGGGTGATGGCAGGAGACAGAGGGGTGCTAACCCTCAGCAGTCTTAGGGTGGTGTTGCTAGGTCGACCTTTCCAGTGCCGAGTGCAGGCTCGGGGAGAGGTAAGCAGGGGGAGTTCACCTGTTACAAGTGTGGTCAGTTGGGCCACAAGGCTTCAGTTTGCCCACAGAGGGGAGGAGGTCAGAGAGCTGCTTCATCTTCAGCTAGACCGCAGAGCCAGAGTCAGGGCAGGGGTCAGCCCTTGTCTTGTTATCAGTGTGGTCAGCCTGGGCACCTGAAGAGGTTTTGCCCACAATTGAGTGCCACTTCGGGTGCGTCTGGTTCTAGGCAGACGGAGGGTTTTCAGCCAGCTCAGTCTGTGCAGGCCTCGAGGGCTAATCCGGGAGCATCGTCGTCCCAGTCAGTGCAGTAGTCGTTTGCTCCGAGGGGTGAGCAGTTGGATCAGGGCCCTACAGGGCGCATGTATGCTGTTACCGCGCAGGACCTAGTACCGGCTCCATCAGTAGTGAGAGGTACCTTTCTGTTTTGCAACTCAGTTGCTAGTGTATTGATTAATACGGGTGCATCTCATTTTTTTGTATTTGCTGCATTTGCATCTATTTTGAAATTGGAGTTGGCACAGTTAGCATCTCCTATATGTGTAGTATCGCCTGTTGGTGGTGAGTTGATCTTGAAACAAGGTGTTAGAGGTTGTGATATAGAGGTCGCCGACCATAGGCTTCCTTTTCCTTTTGTTGTCATGCCCATGAAGGGTTTTGATGTTATTTTGGGTATGGACTGGCTATCGT